ATAAAGCAACTTTATTGGATAATAGAAGAAAAATAACGAAAATTGTACAGAAATTCCTATTGAAATTCTAAGTACTAGGGATACAGGACACACCCTAACATTATTGGAGCTCGCACAAACTTTTTGGATGCAGCAGTGCCTCCTGAAGCGAGATGCAAAATGTCTTCAATAAGTAGCCCAGAAGTAGATGTATCAGCTGTATCATAGTTAACTCTATATGGGCATGGATCCTTTGGACTTTTGCAACTTGAACCGCCTTCACATAAATGATGGCTGCAAGGCACTACCTTGCTTGTATTTGAATCAGAGGGATTGTACTCACTTAAATCCTTACCCTGCATTATAGATGCCCCAAATACCAGGGAGCACCTGCCAATCAATCATTGGAAATAAGTGCTAAAACTGTAGCTAAAACTATTAAACTTCCGCAGCTACCTTGAGAGGCTATGGAATATGGACATCTATATTTGTATGATAACACAACATATCTTGTCTAGATGTGCATATGCAGATAGGTCAACCACTTGCAAGAGGCAAGAAATATACTTCCTTGTCATATTGGGAAGATGAGACTAGGAACTATAGGAAACAAAGAACATATTACAAGATATGTTGACGAAAGATCACATACGACAACCCCAGAATACAGGAAGGAAAAAAACGGAAGAGAAGTAAATAATGCATAAAAGACCTTAAAAAGGAACTATACTGACACAAAAGCATAAGGGACCAAAAGTAAAATAAAAAAAAATCAATACAAAAGTTCCTTCACAAACCTTACAGCTCCTGTAAATACGAACACGAGATTAAAAGAGAAAGGAGAGATGCCACTCACGTGAAGTTCAAATAGGAGTCGTAGATCCCAAATATTGAAAATCAGCTAAACAAATATCAAGGAAAATGATAAAACATGTGTGCCTACTTGAAAGCTAAAATTGATACGTCTAATGAGATGACCTTCACTAGAGATGCATTATGACTTAAAGACAGGAAGGAAAGTAAAAAAAGGGAGAGATTAAGATGTACCTGAAGTTCTATAACCCACTATAGGAAATAGAAATTTATAAGAGCACTAGTAAGACATGCTCTTTTCCTATCTCCACCAAAATTTGCAAATCTAGGTGATCCAAACCTTTGTATTAATTAGGAATAAAATGGACTATTTAGGAATCAAAGTGCGTGTACCAGATATATACCGTTCCTAATAAAGACCATCTCAGCATTACTATGTCAGTACCACAAAAATGAGTAGTTTAAATTCAAAAATTAAAAAGGTCGATAATAGAGATGAAAACAGCGCTGAGAGTACAGCAAAGCTTAATACAAGAGAGAATACTCAAATTAACTCAGAAGGCAGTATGACAGAAGAGTAATGGCCTGCATACCAGATTGCTGTAGTAGCTTGCAGATAATGGAGCACATTGCATGCAATCACAAGGAACCCAGAGTAGGTCACTTCCAGTATCAAGTGCAACAAGAAAGGAAACATTTGGTGTGCCTATATCTATCCAGGTGTAATGCAACCTGTTTACACAAGATTTAAAAAAAAAAAAAATCAGACGTGGGTTTTCCATGAGAAATAACTAATCTAGGCAACAACTAATAGAATTAACATGTAAGCAGTTTGCATGACGCATAATTTCACCCAACAATCAAATGACAGCACCATCAGCAAATATATAATTATGCATTTTATTAAAGTCTTCCATTCTCACGAAAGATTATATTCATTCAAAAAGTAGTAAGAAAATCATTATCCTGACACTGTAAAAAGGTTCAAGCACTATAATTGACAATATTCTGGAAAACCTCCTCGGAAACCATCTTAGAAAACTCAATCCCACGAACCAACCTCATCAGACAGACCATCTAAATTTCACCAGTCAAAAATATGAGGCAAATGATACATTTCCATGATGTATGTCAGATTTATCCCGCTCCAACAGCCTATGAATCTCTCCAATCAATTTCTCATTGCATGTTAAAACATAATCGCAATAGCCCTTCATTTCCCTCCACTTTCTAGGACTAATAAACTAGAACCAAGTACATAATCTGCCATTCTCAACTTGTTCCTAAATTTCCTGAAACCCTTATCAAAATATTGACTTTCTCGTGGACCAGTTAACTAGAATAATCTGTCATTCTCAACTTACTCTTAAATTTCCCAAAACCCTTATCAAATGATTGACTTTTGTAAAACAATTATCCCATTTATCACGATTACAAATTTTCCACTTAACAAACACCCAAAACCACCAAGACTCAGTCCAAAGTCATTGACTCCTTTTCCCAACCACCTGGCCCCCTCTTCCCTTCAAATAATACGTTACAAGGCTGAACCCACATTGACTATGCTTTCCTTTTCTTTTATATATATATGGATGCGAAAAAAAATATTAAAAAAAAAGAGGCAAATTTATCTGACCATCCGTAGTCATCGCCAGTGGAAAGAGTAGTGCTTCCTTGAGAAGGAAACAGATAATCAAACTGCGGCCCCAACTTCACCTTCTGCCGCTGCAAATCACTGCTGAGCAACCTCCTATAGTACTCGGAGCTCCATTTCCTCGGAAAACGGGCCACCTCTCCCCGACTTCTGGAAACACTATCAGCCTTCAGCTCGTCAGAAAACCTATGCATTAGCTTACTAGAAAACAACTCCACCGCCACCGCACCACCACCATTCTCTATCCCCACCACCGCCACCATCACCAACAGTGGCAGCGCCAGTACACCCGACATTGTTGTTACACCCATTTCTCAGCCCAAAATTTGCTCTATTTTCTGCAGAAAGTAAAGGGCTTCCAAGGACTATGGAGAAGGATCTAGGGCTTGGGCATGTAGGCAGGAAAATGCAGGTATATAAAGAGGTTGGTGAGAGTAAAAGGGCTGCTAGGAGCTAAAATGCACCGAAAGAAATAAAGGGCTAGAAGCTAAAATCTGCCGAGAAAGTGTAACTTTTCAAGTGAGTGCTGACGAAAGGGGAGAAAAAGGAAGACACAGACAAATGGTGCCGGCTGGGAGGAAGACGGATCTGTGGAAATAGTAGTCATTTTGATAAGCCTGATGATTCTATGATTTCTATCCGATGAGAGCGTCTTTTCGAGCCGGGCCAGGCCGGGCCAAGTTCAGCGTATTTGATAAGGACGTGGAATTGGATTTGTACTACGAGATTTGGGCTTCACAGCGAGCACAAATTGGAACGGTCTGAGATTGCAGAGGCTCAACCATGTAAAAGCCCTTCCTGTTGTAATTATTGGTAAACTATTTTACGTTACTAAACCCTATGATTGAAGTAAATTGTTTCCGATTGAAGAATACCTTTTGTAGTTGCTTTGTAACGATCAGGAGGTTCTCTAGTGACAATGATCGAGCTACTCGAGTGCTTGCTCAGTGAGTCGAGATTGATCAAAATTCGAGTTCATTATCAAATCAAATTTGAGCCCTTAAATTTTCAGCTAGAAAAGCTATCAAGCTTTTCGACCTTTATATATACTACCTATAATCTTAAGATAAATTGTATGTCTTACCATTTAAACCCGAGCAGTTCAACTTTAACTTCGATATCAATTTGATTCTATCTTGAATTTGATCTTGATCTTGAGTTTCTTATATTTTAAATAAGTTGAGTTTGAACTCCAAAGTTAAGAGTTCGTTGAATTTGAATTCAAGTAATTTACTTACAAGCTTGAGTTTTTGAGCTCATGTAATTTACTTTTGAACTCAAACACAAGTACATTAATATTTGTGTTCAACTCAACTCGTTGGTATTTGCCACCAGTACTCTACAGAAATATTGTGATTCTACTTTTGATGGCAATATGTTTGATCTCGCTTATGAAATCAAATCAACATGCTTCTAACATTGGTTCGAATTATTATACTAAGTAATTAAAAGTTTGATATGTTTAATTATAATATCTATGATGTTTTAATGAAATTGTTAATTTAAAAAAAAAAAAAAAGAATGAATGAAACTTTACTTTGGGTCAACTTAAATTCAGCGCCACATCCTAATCCTAATGTACGTCAAGGTCCTGTTTGGGCCTCAATATTTGGAGCCAGATGTGCCAGCCATTGGCTGAAAGACAAGTTTTTATGTGGGACGAACTTGGGCTTCCCCCCTCCGGACCCAAATCCCGTATGATAGCCTGTTTTCTTGTTTGGTTAATTATAGAATGCCCCTTCAAAAAACTTCATATTTCTCAATTTGCTCTCTTAAAACCCAAAAGGATCAATTTGTATTATGGGTGTTTTCAAAATCTCTGTGTAATTTAATCCACCCAATAATCCAACCCAAATTGCAGTTGTCATTTTTTTTTTTCAATCGTCACTTTTATCTATATAATTCTATTCTATCCTAACTTAAGAAAGAAGCTCAATTGAGCTTACTAGAGGTCGATGGGGACTGAACCACTACGCATCCATCTAAATTTTTAGAAAAATCACATATTGTGACAATTGATGGGAGGTAACGGTTGAATCCTTGACATTTCATCCCACCAAACTTTGAGAACTTAGTGATGACTACCAGTCCAAAGGATGGTGATTAAATCGCAGTTATCACATGAGATGCTTGAAATTGAATGTTACCAATTTATGTTGTTGGCTCAATTGGTGTGACGGACTACTACTAATGAAAATGTTTCAGTCGATATGAAAATGGCATTAATAAATAGTTTATAAATATCTATGCAAAGGGCATTAAAAAAATGGCTGTTAAACATAAAATATATTGTCATATCATACATATTTCACACTCATTACATCGGATACGGGAGAGAGGATGCAAATGCAATTGAAGAATTACGCGAAAGCACAGAACAGGAGTAAAGTTTTTCTCATTAGTAAGAAGTAGATGTGATCAACGACTAAGATAGAAGATGTATTAACAAGAAGCAAGCAGAATAAGTTTCAAAAAATGGTAGGCAACAGGTCAGGACTGCTTTATGAAAGACTAAAGAAGAAATCAAGAACGTGTTCAATCATTGTCCGCCATGTTAATTGCTTTCCACCAACTTATTCAAGATTTCCTTGGCCACAATCCGGCATGCTGCTTCAGTTGGATGAATGCTATCCCAAAAAAAATACTGGGAAGCGTTCCCACAAATTGGAGTGATTGGAATACACGATGTCCCAAATTCCAATACCGCAACATCCTCATCTAGTTTCCACAAATCCTGTAATACAAAAGTATGAATCATAATACGATTGTTGATACAAGGAATATTTGTGAAATGCATTTGAGTTGTAAAACGAAGAGCATACCATATTTTTGAGGATAGTTGATCATGTCCGTTACCAAACCATAAGTGTCTTGATAGACAAGTTTGATTCCTGGGAGTTTAGCCTGTACTTGGGGTAGGAGGTTCCCTAGCTTGTCATTATAAGACCGAGTGTCCACGTTGATTTTTTCTATACATCCTCCCCAAATTGGGGAATTTACAGTCATTGTGATGGGCAAACAGCCAAGTGGTGGCAGGTTTGATGCAATAATCCTGCGGCAGCCAAGATCATACAGCTCCTAGAGATTTACAACAACTATTGAAAATGATAATGTCACTGTTTTTGACAGATGAATCCACAAAACCAAAAGCAAAAGGGATGATATCAGAAATGAGAAGATTTATCAGGTTGGAATAACCTTTAAAAAATCTTGCAATTTGCCCAGAAGAAAATCCTGGTAGTTGTTTACAGTGAACTGAATTCTTCGATTAGTCCTTGAGACATCGAAGTGGTATAGGAAATCAACGGCCCCCGCATGCAAAAGAACCAGAGCCTGATTGACAATTCTTCGAGCCTCTTGTCTCCCTACAACATTTGTCAGCCTCTTGAGGTAATCCTGAAGATTTCCTGGTTGCTTTAGCAATGTAATTACATTTGCAATGGCAAAGGTTTGATCATCAAATCCCGAGCCGCCTGATGCAAACAAAGGAGACACCTGTTAGCAGTTCGCGATCGGTTAGATTTGGCTGTAGATAAGGGGGCACAAGTTCCTTCAGGCCTAGCAAGGATGCTAGAAGGTCTGGCACAAGTTTCCCATCAGAAAACCTTTCGGTGGCGATTTTGCCTGGGAAATTTGTGCCATATGGCTGATAATTGGCTCTAGCTATTGAATTCAAGTAGTCGTTGTTACCAGTATCTAAGACCGAATCACCAAAGGCAAAAATGGCACTAAATCTTGGGATGTTTTGGCCATTGCATTCGTAGTTGAAAGCGAGAATCAAGAAGCAAATCTGCACCAAGAAATTCCAGAAATGGCTGGGAATTGCCATTGACCAGATTGCTTCTTCGCTGTTGGGAAATGCCAACAAATTTGTGATTTACTACTAAGTTTTGAAGCTTTAGCCCTTAGAGAAATGAGACCCTTGTAAAAGCATATGTTGCTAGCAATAAATTTTCAATTGACTATGAAATTGAGGTCCATCTCCAACTCTTAATGCTTTTAGTGAACCTTAACATCAGTTACAGATATATGCAGCATTATTAGCTCAATTTGTTTGTCTTAACCTTAACATTACAGTCAACTGTTACAGCCATGAGTATTAAAATCTCAATTTTTAGCTCGTTATTTACTGAGAAATATATAATCTATAAAACATATGACCTGATCATTTGAAGCATCATTCAGAGAAGAGTAGTGGGTGTATTTTTCTTCCCTGGTCAACCAGTAACTGTTCAGATTCGCCAAGTGTTGCACGTTATCTCATAAAAAATTCTCATTATGGAAAAGACATAATCAGAGTGAGATATATTAAATGTCAATAACACAATTAATTCAATAATTTTGTTTTTGTTAAAAACATCAACATTTCATTAAATCTACATTAATGACAGAAATTACATCAACCATCGGACCAAACAGATACGGATGCATTACGCACTAGTATGGATTTAGAAGAAACTATGGCACATTGATAAAAGGTAAGGTTAGGACCCTCGACCTCTCACTCCACAAAGACTTAAAGTCTTTGGTGGTGGCCAACAGCCCGAAGAGCCGTTGGTTAATCTATCCATCTATACCTACAATCTGTAATTTTTTCACCTTTTTCTGTAGTGCCAAATATATAACTTGCTAATTATATTTATGATCATGAGCCAACTACTAACTATAATCCAAATCCTAGTACATGTTTTCAATTTGTGCAATTAATTACGATTATTCTCATCCTTCAACTGCTGGCCACGACTATTAATTAACCACAATCCCGCTAGTTCAATGACTGAACATAGGATAAAGTAAATGAATTAGTTTTCCAATGCGTTTTCCCTGTCTCTACATTCAAAATTGGTGGAGCAAACATTATTGCTTCTAGTACTGTTTCTATTTTTTTTTTTCCTATTGTAAGTTCGTATTTTCTTGAAATTAATAGAGCAAGAGAGATTTAGTATTTGAAGCAATGTCCCAAATCCAGCTCTAGACAAAAATCGACTGGTCAAAATTCCAAATAAAACTCATCTCACTATATCTTCCTGAAGCAAACTTGTTGGCTTCTAGTACTGTTTCCATTTTCTCCTCTTTTATGTTTGTCCTTTTCATTTTTCCTAATAGGCACGGCCTATTGATTACTGCTCTTCATCTACCTGTATGTAAGCCTTTCCGGATGGTTTTGGTTATAGTCTAGTGTACATGCAGCCACAGGCAGCTGCAGCAACGAGATGGATGTGCACAGTTGTCCCCTTATCAACTAGTACTCACACAAACAGCAAATTGTTCAAGTTCAATGAACATTACATCTCAATTAATCCATCCGAAGAAAAGAAAATTTATCAATTACTATAATGTTTATCAATTTTGTTTGTTACTCCTAACTCCATATATGCAGATACATTTCTTGCTGAGAATCAATACCTGTGCATTAGAGTTTGGGTCATGATTTATCTAAAAGGGTCAAAAAATTCAAAAAAAAAAAAAAGAAAACTCCATATAAGAGTTCACATTTTAAAAATGTTTTTACAAAAATTGACTAAAAGAAATAAAAAATATAAGAATTATTCTATTTTAAAGCTAAAAAAATCAAAAATTTTACAAAGAATTTTACTACCTTAAAAGTGTCATATTTCGGATTAATACAATCACGTGCAAATTGCACGAGGCATTACCAGCTAAAATGAAATGTACGCAGAAGTACATTTATGATTTATCTTCTTATAAAGAAAAACGTCAAGTAGAATTTTTAAGCTCATGGTGATGACAGTCGTACCATATTTTTGAGATTGGTTGATCATGTCCAGTACTGGATGGTAAGTATCTAGACAGATGAGTTTGATCCCAGGAAATTTTGCCTGGACTTGTGGTAGGAGCTCTTCTAGCTTCTCATTATAAGATCGAGTCTCCAGGTTCATGTTCTCTGTACATGTTCTTCCTACTGCTGAATTCACGGTCATCGTGATTTGGCAAACAGCCAAGTGGTGGAATCCCGGACACAATTATTCTGCGGCAATTAAGATCATATAGTTCCTGAGACTTATAAGAAGTAAAACATGTCATACTTTCATTGCTGCAATTATGGATCTGTTGGTCATATGGCAAACCAATTTAGTAGAGCACTATGTAATATAATCCAAAAGTAGCGTCTCAGGGTATAAAAGAGCTAACAAAACTATAGTTTTTTTTTTTTTTTTTGTCGATACGATAGCGTCCTACACTATGGGAAGGGAGAGGACCTGAAGAGATTCTGGAGTAATTTGGAGGGGACTGAACTACCACCGGATCAGACGGGGGCACTATACACCCGCCTCAATTTTTTTAAGCAAGATCACATTTAATAGTAACAAATTGATGGGAGACAAAGTTTGAACTCTTGCCTCCTATCCCATCAAGTCTTAATGCATTGGTGGTGGCCATCAACCCAAAGGCTGGTGATTTAATAAAAATGTAGTCCGGTGTCGCAAATCTACGACTATGATAAGCTAATGAAATGCAAAAAGACTATAATAATTCTTTTAAGTAAGATCTGTAACTGTGATATTTATGTTGGTGATCTACAGGCAGATCAGTCATAGTTTTACCTATAATCTAGGCACAGAAGGACTCAAATTCTCCTGCACAAGGTTCCTTTTCTTGGGCGATTATTGATATTCATGCGTTTATGGATTTTTCTTCTTCTTTTTCAAGATTTAAGATATACAAGACATCCTACATTACAGTGTCAATAATCCAATTATGTATACAAACTGTGATTAAGTGTGTGGAGGCCAATTGTGTATTTGTCCGCTTCAACAACGGGTGCTTGGAGAGGGGCCTCTCCAGGATTCGAACCCTGGTCCTTTGGAGTAAGGGTCTTGGGGTTGAAGTCCTGGTACCACTTAAGCGGATTCAAACCCTGGTCCTTTGGGGTAAGGGTCTTGGGGTTGAAGTCCTGGTACCACTTGAGCTACTAGCCTAAATGGTACCAGGACTTCAACCCCAGGACCCTTACCCCAAAGGACCAGGGTTCGAATCCTGGGGAGGCCCCCCTCCAAGCACCCATTGCTGAGGCGGACAAATACACAATTGGCCTCCACCGGTCTTTTTTGTGGAGGCCAATTGTGTATTTGTCCGCCTCAGCAACGGGTGCTTGGAGGGGGACCTCCCCAAGATTCAAACCCTGGTCCTTTGGGGTAAGGGTCCTGGGGTTGAAGTCCTGGTACCATTTGGGTTGTGGAGGCCAATTGTGTATTTGTCCGCCTCAGCAACGGGTGCTTGGAGGGGGGCCTCCCCAGGATTCGAACCCTGGTTCTTTGGGGTAAGGGTCTTGGGGTTGAAGTCCTGGTACCATTTGGGCTAATAGCCCAAGTGGTACCAAGACTTCAACCCCAAAACCCTTACCCCAAAAGACCAGGGTTCGAATCTTGGGGAGGCCCCCCTCCAAGTACCCGTTGCTGAGGCGGACAAATACACAATTGGCCTCCACAAAAAAGGACAAATACACAATTGGCCTCCACAAAAAAACCGGCCTTTTTTGTGGAGGCCTCCCAGAATTCGAACCCTGGTCCTTTGGGGTAAGGGTCTTGGGGTTGGGTTCGAATCCTGGGGCTATACACAATTGGCCGCTACAAAGTGGCTATCCATGTGTATCTTGGACATGTACGTATGAGAATTATTCAAATTGAGAACTTGGAGAGAGGGAGAGAGCTAGAGCGTAACCTTCAGGAAATTTTACAAGTTCCTCAGCAAGAAATCTTGGTATTCATTTACACTGAACTCAAGTCTTCTATCAGTCCGTAAAACGTAGAAATTATATAGGAAATCAACAGCTCCGGCATGTACAAGCACCAAAGCTTCATTAACGATTCTTTGAGCTTCTTGTCTCCCAGCAATCTTCTTGAGCCTCTCCACGTAATCCTTAAGATATTGTGGTTACTTGGACATTGGAATTATGTTTGCGATAGCAAAGGTTTCATCATCAAATCCTGCAGCAGCTGAATCAGGGGCCTCACTAGTCCATATTTTCAATCCATTTCAGGGTAAAATAGTTATTTGAAATATTTTTACATCTTACTCCAATTTGTTTACATTCTACCTAAACTTATGTACACCTACTCCAATTTGTTTTACACCTTATGTGCAAAATGGTTTAAAGTGGAATTGCCAGAATTCAGTCAAACTAAATGTCTGGAGCTCTGTGTTCTATGTATGATAGATAATAAGGGCTGTCTAACGGTTAAGATAATGTACAATACAATGGAGGGTAATAATGGTTAGTATATGTATAAACATAGTAAATTGTGTGAAATTTAAGTGTATTAATAACTATCCATTTGGACACCTATTAATAACATTCACACTTCAAATAGATTTTTTTGATCATGTGGGCGAGCTCATTGTGAGATTGTGGCATTGTGCTCCATGATAAATACCCTCCTCCACGTAAAGTCCTGAATAAGTCCACATTCCTAGTGTATTAGTCACAATAACAACTATGCCCCTGATTTATTTCATGCCTTACAAACTGTCCTCCTTCCAATCCCTAACTTCTCATCACTAGAACTGCATACGAGTCGAACTGCTCGTCAATCGATCGCGAACAACGTGAGTCAAAGCTTAACTTGAATCAAGCTCGAACTGACCAAGTAGAGTTTAAACTCGAATTTAAGTTCAAAAATATTTAACTCGCTAGGTCACGAGACAACTCAATTATATCCATAATATTTTATTATTTGTGAAAAAATTACTATTTTATTCATTTTTTAAAATAAAATAATTATTTTTTAAAATTATTTTTAAGCTTAAGCTCGAAGTTGACTCTACTCGAATTTGAGGTCGAGTTCGAGGTCAAACTTTACATTGAAA